CGTTCCTGATGCAACAGGACAAGTTTTGGTTTGACTGTTCTGTTACAATGATCACAGTTTCTGTTTCAAACAGGTTGTTATACCCTTGGGATTTAGTTTCAGAGAGTGATGGTAAACGTCGCCCATTGAGACCTTTCCACTGTATCTCAGGCTCTGGGTACCAACCAGCTGATCGACAAACCACCCGGATCCCTCCATCCTGGTGACCCTCAACAGAGATGAGAGGAGCAGAGCCCAGACCTAAGGGGAAAATACATAAAGGTGTCAATTCCTTGAATTCATTTATAAAGCAGAAGGGATGAGGAACAGTTTGTGGATCCCTTACTCACACTACAAATCACTAATTCATGTGGGTAGTCAGTAGAACAGATAAGTTAATACTGGAATGGCTGAAATCCCAATATTCATGGACACAAAAAACATAAACAAATATTTAAAATAAGTTCACTGAGTCAGTGGGCGATATGTTGTCTGAACACAGGAGCAACTGGGTGCTGAGCACCTTTGGAGATATGACAACGTAGATACCTGAATAGGATCTGAACTTTTGAAAATCTGATCATTAGTGCATTGGGTAGATATATTTATTATTTTAAAAAGTCTAACTGGCTTCATAATTGCAGTGTCAAAGCAGCAGGAGACAAATGCTAAATCTTGTCTAAGAGGGATAATGCATAATTTCCCCTCCCCATTGTGACACTCTTTACTCCATATTCACCATAGTAATATGATTAAGATATAATTATGTAGCATCTTATACAAGATGTGTCATGTCAGGTGTCAATGGAAACGTTATGATTTGCTGAGTATGGTTATCCTATTTGTATGCATGTATCATTTTTGTATCTGGAGTTATGAATATTGATTATGCATCTGTATTTCAAATGTGCTTGTCCTGGGTAAAACCCACAACTAGCCTTTCAGGTACAACAGTGAAGAAGCTAGACAATGCTAATGGCCCATCAGCAAAAACAATAGGACATGGAAAAGTCTTGTCCTCACCGGGGGACACTTCAGACAGCCTATGGATAATGGTTGCCATGACTCATCAAGTATGCAGGGGAATCTGACTAGATCACATGATACTGAACTCCATTTTGGTACCTGTATTTTTCCACAAACTGGGCTGGGAACCTGGCTTGGAACAAAGGGATTCCTGCCATATTGAAGAAACTATAAAAGGAGGAAGTGACATCACCAACGGGCCTCACTTTCCTCACAACTCCACATCTGGATATAGCTCTGGAAGAGCACAGACTTTGAACTGGGGAAGTGCTGGTCCCAGGTGGGAAAGAAGGAAATCCTGCCTGTGTATAAAACATCTACAAACTGCTCATATTATCTAACAGGGTGAGACACTGTTTGATTCAAATCCTGTGTAGTATATTAGGCTTAGATTGTGTGTTTGTTTATTTGCTAAGTAATCTACTTTGATCTGTTTGCTATCACTTATAATCACTTAAAATCTTTCTGTCATTAATAAATCTATTTTATATTTTTACCTAAAACAGTGTGGTTTGAGTGAAGTGTTTGGGAAAAATCTCAGCTCAGTTAACAAAGGTTTTGTGCATATTCCTCTCCACATTGAGGGAGGGGCAAACTGGGTAATTGTAATAATCTTTACTGGTCAGGCTTTTGACCAGGGCAGGACGGTACAGCTCCAGGATCCTAGGTTGGGGTGCTGGGGTGTGTTTTGGCTGAAGCCTCGCTATTGTGGGTTCATGAGTGCCTGGCTAGATGCATTCATGAACACAGCTGGGTGTGGTCCCTGTCTGAGAATGTTGGTGTGAGTGCAAGTGTGGAGGGCTTTGCAGCTTGTCACAACATCACAGTGCAAGAGGGAACCCAGATTGGTGAGAGAGAGGGCTCAGCTGTACCTCAGTTCCAGGTGGCACCCCGGGGGGAACCCATCACACCCACCACAACCATCACTATTATACAGTCTCAGCAAATAATAACACTGCATTTGATTTTAACTACGCCCTGAAGCAACAACCAACAGTGAACCAATGGGAAAGGCCATAAAAGTCTGGCATTCGCACCTTAGCCACACATCCTAGAAATGACTGCAGAGCAACTGGAAGACCATACGCATCCAGAAGTCCTTTTCCTCTTAACTAAAGAACGCTTTGGGGGCAATTAATATTGGGCAAGAGAGTGCCTTGGCCATCCTGAAATGTTTTTAGTAACATATTGGGAAAGTTTCCAGCATATTTTCTCTAGTATGAAAGTGGCTGTTTGCTGAAAGTTAGATACACTGTGTTATTGTAAAATATTTCACAAGCAGGGAGTCACAGTTGTTATAATAGGAAAGAACAAAGCCTGCAAACTGCACAAAGTTAAAACTGTCACAAGCTACTGACCTGCTACTCGCAGTTCCAATACGGTTTCTTCATAAAAAGTATCATCTTGAACAAAGCAGTGGTATTGTCCTTCATCAGAGCGTCTGATATTGAGAATCCTCAAGGAAACATTCCCATCTGTGAGTCCGGCTTTCAAAAGCTCCGTCCTTCCCTGATACTGTGGCATCTGCCCATCATACTGATCCTTAGCACGATACAGGTGCACAATGGATAAATACTCAGATCGGAACCATCTCACTTCCATGTTTGCAGCGCTCATCCGGGGGGACAGGTGACAGGGTAACACGGCTTCCTGACCCAGGATGGCAGTGACAGGGTCATGGGGTCCAATCACTGTGAACTGTGCTGGAAAATGCACCAGGACAATAACAACAAAAAGCAGCTCAGAGGAAAGTGGGAATTTGATATGAAGGACACATCCAACAGGTTCCATTTCAGACAAACTTTCCAAAAAGTTCAGGCAGAGGCAGACACTCGACATGCAACATTTCAGCCTGAATGTTTGAGAGAGAGCAGCGCTCATGGGCAGCAGGACTGGGGCTCTGTTAGAAGAACACTCAGCCACAGTGTATGGCACAGGCACACAGCACTGAGATGTGGCATGGAGCTGATAACAGGCAAGTTTGGTGCATGGCCCAGGCACAGAGCACTGGACACAGTGGGGAGGTGAGAATTGGTACAGGCATGCAGTGCTGACACGGGGTGGGAAGCTGAAGACAGCTATATTCAGTCCATGTCACAGTCACACATCAGAGAAACTGAGGCAGAGAACTGGGAATGGACGTGCTCAGTGTATAGTTGAGATAAACTTACTATTCAACAGCCTGTTTTTGTAAGTGCTCTCAAATTGACACGCTTACCAACATTGCCATGAAATTTGCTGGGCCTCACCAGGAAAAAGGGTAGGGTTGTTGGGCCACATTTGGTGTTCTTTCACCAAGGTGTTCCTGAGACACAGCCATATTGCTAGAACCAATTTTTGGACTATTATGTTCAATACTTCACATGCTCAAGAGACCAAATAACCAAACTTAGCGAAAATTATTGCCTAAAGACAAAACAGTAAACTACAAAAAGGAGACATCTGTACCCTCCTCCTGTAAAGCAATTCTTATCTTGCAGTGTGTCACCTTACACACAAGGTGTGCTTTGAAAATACACCCTAAACCCTCTTATACTTATACCGTGGCTGTTTACAAGTGAGAAAGCACTTTAAACATCACCTAAGATCCAGCCCACCAGTTTCTTAACTTGTTGTTCTGTACCTTCCTTAACCCTGTTTTGGATACCACATTCCAAATCCGGTGGGTGTAGAGGTACATCCCAACCAGTGCGAGGACACACCTTTCATGGCTTTGACAGACTTCCTATTTTCTCTTGTGAATACTAACTTCAGATTTTACAGTGTTGTGGGATATTAGATATTGGTGAAGAGAATTGTGGGAAAAGACATAATACATTCAGTTAACTTCCCAACACTCTCTCTCTCTCTCTTTCTCTGTAATGTATATTATAAGACTACCGTGCACATAATACCTAATCATATGGTGTATACTGCACCTAACATATATGTATTAGCTAACAGGCCCAATTTTAAAAAAGTACGTGTGTGAAGAAACAGACCTGGGCACTATCCCAGAAGCAAATAAAATAACCCAGCAGCAACACAATCAGGGCAAAAAATGAATAATGAAGGTGCTGATCTTGCTGTGTGGTTAAGTTTACACACTGTGAATAGTTACATTGACTTTGAGTGGAGCATGTTGTTAAGACACTTCAGGGGCCTAAATAAATCCTCTAAGAAACAGCAGACACAGGGCGGATTCCTACCTGATTCCATCCTGTGAACATAACAAATAAGGAAGAAAACAATAAAACCAGGGAGAGGGGAGCTGGCTCTGGAGCTGTGGCAGAATGAGAGAATCTTCATCTTCATTGTAACTTGATCTAGACAACAGGAAGGAGGAGAAAAAAACTCATCATAGTGAGCATAACACTGAGTAACATTAAATCACTAAAGTCAAAATTAAAGAGGACACATTAAATAAAAAAGGGGCAAATGCATTGTTAAGTGAACTCTTTCATGTTATGGAGTGAGAACAGCCATTCAATTACAGTTGGAAATGTGTTTCCTTTACAACTCTGATTTTGTCCAATCTCTACAAAATCCACATTAAAAAAAAGTCAGACCAGTGTAAAAGTTGGTAGTAATTCCATCAATGGAGAAAAAAAAGTTTTAAGAAATAAAAGTGTGTGTGTATGAGAGAGAGAGAGAGAAAGATTCTTGGGTGGGTTTTTTACCCAAGAATCTTTCTCT